CTTTGTGACTGTTGGTTTTCAGCCTTGGCACAGCTGCTAGAAGTCTTTGTTGAATTTCTTCTCCTTCCAATGTATGTTGTTCATTCGATGTAGTTTGAGCAAAAGCTGTCAACAAAGCATTTCTCCTCAACAATTTTCAAAGATCGATTGCGATTAATGTACTCTTCATTTGCTGACAGTTTTGTGTATCTTCTGTACTTCTGTAAAAAAAACAACTTTCTCCTGTTATAAATGTTTTCACACTTAATGTCATAATTTTTCGCCATATAGATAAGAGGCACTAAAGAAAAATCTTCTTTATTTTAACTTTACAGATTGGATGAGGTTCATGATCTTTTTTGAATAAACCCAGGCAGCACTGCTAGTGTGTGTGTGTGTGTGTATGTATGTATATATATATATATATATATATATATCTTCTTCTTGTGAACACAAGACAGGCTTTTAACTGTCTATGTGCACACTGATGCAAATAAGAAACTGGCCAACATAGTTGATTTGTCTGCTTGGTGAAAAGCTGAGAAGGGAATCTATTGTAGATACACATTATCTTTGTCTTTTGGGAAAAACTGTTTTCGGCTCATTTAAATTGTTATTTGTCAAGTATGTATCCTTTGCACCTGATGATGGATTTGATATTTGATTCCACCCACCCCCCAAACAGAAACTGCTCTCATTACACTCCTGTTCAATTTTGTTTATTGTAGTTTGTAATGCAAAGAAAATATCTAATAACATGTCACCTTGTTTAACACTTTTTGATAAAAATTAAATGCCTAGTACAAAGATCAGTTTATATAACAACTAGAGGATATGCAGTTTACAGATTTATGTAATGTTTGTTTGGAGTCGTTTTGAATATTGACCAAAGATTGTCCAGTTTAATGCGGTCAAAAGCTTTGAAAACAATGAAGGCCATATGAATTGGTCTATTGAATAAGTGATTTTTCAATCAGCTGAGGGTGCAAAACTTTTTGTGGTGCCATGTTTGGTTTGATAAGCTACTTGAGATTGATAGAAGAATGAAAAAAGATTGTATCAGCATTTCAGATCAAAGAATCCATCTCTAGTTGTCGAAATTTGTATATATAAGCAGTTTTTTTTGCTTTCCAATCTCTAATTTTTATTATACAAAACTATAAGTCTTAAAACTAGATGGTAGATGTCTCAAAAATCTTCAGCGGGATATTGCTCTGCTTTTAAAAATTATCCATGGATAGAGTTAATGCCAGGGTATTTACCTGATTTCGGTTTTTAATAGATGTAATTTTTTCAGAGGTCATGTTTAGAATATGAAGTTCAGTAAGTAAGAACAAGACTGAAAGAGTTAATATCTATATATAAATTTTCATGAACAGTGTGCTACTCTTCTAAAATCTTTTCTTTTGCTGTCAAAATGTTTCCATCTTTATCCCCTCCAATGTTCTTTTTAATGGTTTTTTAGTTATTTCATGACAAGGGAAAATTGTTTATCTTGGGAGGTTAGAAAAATCCTCTAGATTGTCATTGGACTTATTTAGCTTATTTTGACTATCTTTTTTGCTTCTGCATTGTGATTGGAAAATTCACCAAACTTCTTGCATATGTCGAGTCACAAAAGGCTTAACTGCCATCTTTCATCAAGATGGTAGAAGTATTTTTTCCTTCAGTATGTTTCAATGGTAGAATAACTTGTAGCCTAAGAAAACGTGTTCCTCAAAGTTATGGCTGAGAAGAGGAAGGAACTTGTTGCCAAGTTCTAATTGAAGAAGTTTGATTACTCTGCTTTTTCATATGTTTAATATCACGCTTTTGGGCAGAAAAAATTTTGTTTCTGCTAAAAAGTCCAATTTGATTTGAAACTAGATGATAATCAGATATGGTTGGAGTATTCAGAACAGATGAATTAATGATATTTTGGTTGGAGTAAAACAAAATCTACTTGTTCCATTTCCCCTCCCCACTTGTAAGAGTGTGTGTGTCTGTCTTTCTTTGAAAGTAAGTATTTGTGATTATATAGGATTATGGCAGAACAAGAATTAGCAAGTCATTTATCACATTCATTGCCTTTTCCAATGGTACTTTTATCAAAAGATGGAAAATATGAAGGCTTCCATAAAAATGTCTTTTAGACACCTTATCAATTATATTTTGAATTTCTGTATATAGATGTTTGACTTCATCTTATTAGTTACAATTTAGAAATTATATTTTAATGAAAATCTTATTCCTATCATTATTATTATTATTCCAGAAAGTAATAGTAGCTAGCATGTCAGATATACCCTGAAAATCAAAAACTCTATCACTATGTACCAAATTTTTGTGGACACGAAAACCTGCTCCGTTTGATCTCTAGTTTTCCTTACTTGAAGTGATTACCACATGGAAGAATTTTGATGGGTTCTTTGATCAGAGTTGCTGATAAATCTATTAAGTCTCGTTTTATCTTTTGAATTTTAACAAGCATAACATCAAGATCAACTCCATTCTAGTCACTTTATGATAGGAGGTTATATGCGCATGTGATGAGAAATTATTTATTTTTCTTTTTTATAATAATCCTACCTCCTGATTGCATTCTACACATGTCCAGGTTTGCACATAAAGGCTCCTGATTACTCCTGTCACATTGTCCGGGGTTGCCAACACACACTCATCTTGAGCATATTTTGGTGGACCAGAAATTGTGTTATGAACTTTCATGTTAGTTTTTGTTCACTAGTAATATCCTAACAAGTGGATAATCTTCCAAATTCTATAGATTTCTTAAAAATAAATGATTTCTCGAGCATTTCTTAAAACTAAAATCCCAGAAAATTACAATGTAAAATCTGTTTTGTTTTCTTACTTGCCTTATTTTATTGAAATTTAGTTTCTATTATTAAAAGTAACCTTTTGTGCTTTTTATTTTTGAATTAGCATATTTCATTTATTTTTGTAATTTTTAAATCCTTTTCTCTAATGTAAGTGATATTCTAATATATGGAATAATAAAATGACCAAGTCACTTGATATAGACTTCATTATTCCATGTTTAATGCTAGCCTATTGTTTTGGATACAATTCAATCTTGTGTGACTCTGCTAAAGAGAGGCTCAGTTGGGTGTAGGGTTTTGATTTTTGTTTAATAATAGATTGAGGATAAAATATAAAACCTTTGCAACTGCAGTTATATACACTAATAAAAGATCTATATCTTTTCCTAATATATGCAGCTGTCAAATGTTTATATCGGAGGAATAGTTGTAGGGGGGGTGTCTTTTCTTAGTTCAAGATTTTCTCCATGTTCTTATATGCAAACAATTCTAAACACTGTTTTAAAACTTTAAATAGACTTCCAAGACAATCCTGTTTTTTAACTTGAGAATTCATTAAATAGAAAACTATTATAACCTACTCATGCCATTGGGTACAATCTACTTTTGCAAAATGTTGCTATATTGTAATTTTTGTTTTACCTAATAAAACATGAATTCTTGGAACTATGCCATTGACACTTAGTGTCCTATGTTGTGAAAAAACAATCTTTTTCTCTTTCAGCCAAAAAAAAAAGAATCTTGCTACATAACTTTAATTTCATTTACTTGACAGAATAGCAACGTGTATGCTGTATTATGTGTAACCTTGTGTTAATAAATAGTACTTGTATAAAATTGTTAAATACAACTCCTGATCATGTGTTCAGTTATATATAAATATTCTATAATTTTTAAACCTCCCTTCACATCTCCTTCACTCATGAAAAACACCCATTTTAAAGCTTATTACAATCTACTAATAATTATCTGTATTTTTTTATACTTAATGTTTGTGTAGTTAAATCATCAGTCTAATAACTAAATGTTAAATAAACAGCTGTATATTTTACATATTAAATATTTAGTAAATTGACTGCACAATTTGAATTCTTACAATTTTAAACTATAAAATATGGAAATTAAATTTCTATGGATAAATCATTATTCAAGTAACTAGAGAGCATTTTCAATTGTCTTTTATCTGAAACCTTATACATTTAAACCTAAATTAGATAGCTCTAAAATCTACAACCAAACTCATAATAAATTTAACAAAATAGGTTTTGTTTTTTGTTCTTGTCTCCACTGTGCTCAATAGATAATTTTTAGGTTTTATACAAATGTTAAGAAATAAAAAAAAAAAATAACATTGATAGTTTTTAGAACAGACTGGTTTCTTAGAAATGTGATGTAGATCCTTAATGATCTTTAATAGACATTAACTACATTAAAAGTACAGCATAATCATTTCAATGTATTTATAATCTAACATTTTATTGCCTTCATTCAGACAATTGAATTTTTTTTTTTTTTTTTTTTTTTTTTTTGAAGCCTTAAAGGTTGGAATATTATTTATATCAAAGTTTTTAAAATTTGTTTACTTTAACAATAAATCCTAAAAAGCATGCAATCATAAATCTATTCTAATTTCTTTCCAGTTTTTTGCTTTAAATAGTATAGATAAAGCAATTTTTTCCAGTTTACATTGACATTGCATTTGATACTTTGACTGGCAAAATCTCAAGCTAGAAAATGTATAATGAAAATTTGTTTCTCTTATTGTCATAACATTTTTTTTTGTTGTTCAAGGTAGACAATTTTAGGAAGAGATGTTTATAACTTTGTAACTGCAGCAACTGATACTGTACTTGAATATTCAAAGAAACTTTATCAAAACTTCTCCATTTTTAATCGCCTTTTTAATCAAGACCACTGATATAGTCAAAAATATTTTGCAGTTTTCTAATGAAACATTTTGGACCATTTTCTCTGCCTGCAAATCTATTCTTTGATTGTCATTGCTAAGCTTTATATTTCGTTTTTTTTTTTTTTTTTTTTTTTTTTTTTTTTTTTTTTTTTTTTTTTTTTTTTGTCACATAATAGTATATGATTATATATTTAATGCAAAAACATAAGCATTTTGTAATGAGAAATTTTAACTACTACTGGAACACAACTAATAATTAAAGTATTATAAAAAGATATAAATTTTACTTCCAGATTTGACAACTATTCTGCCAATGTAATGGTTGATGGTAAACCAATCAATTTAGGATTGTGGGATACAGCTGGTCAAGAGGATTATGACAGACTCAGACCTCTATCATATCCTCAGACGGTAAGGCTTTATTTTAAATCAAAACATTTTCTAATGCTTACTTCTAAAAGGAAATTCATATTAATAGGTTATTTTTATAGAAAAGAATTTTAGCAATTTAACAAATTGGGGTGGAGTTTGAAATAATTTCTTAAAAATGAGCTGTTGGTGCAAGGACAGCTGAAAAGTTGACACACTCTTCAAATGTTTTTTTTTTTTTTTTGTCTTTGCTGAACTGATCCATCTTGGCTTAGAGAAATATTGTCAGTAGTTAAGCTATTTTTAATTGGTTTGAAAAGCACACAAGATTTTCCTTGTCTATATTTTAATTAGATTAAATGGAAAGCCATCTGGAACTTCAAAATTTCTTTCAGTCCTCTCTATTTTACTATATTAACTACCTAAATTATAACTTTTTTGCAACTCTATCCAGTAAATATCAGAATTTCTCTTTATCTAGTATGCCAGGAATCTGACAAAATGTGTACAAAGCAGAAGCTCTCTACTTTCTCTGGGAAGACATTGCATCTTCTGTTATGTTCAATAATGCTGATAAAATTAGGGATTAGGACTGAACTGAAATTTAAGCAAGTTTTCCAACATTCTTCAAATTTATAATTTTTATTTCTAAAATTGTCCTAGTGTAGGTATGTATTAATTGAGTGTTCAAAATCACTGACTGAATTGGTCCTTTTTTAGATAGATAATAAAAATTTAAATCCAAAATTTCTTCATACCACAGCCTAAACTTTACCCGCAACCTACACGCTGTACATTGCAAGGAATTTGGGGTTTTTCTTTAGACTGCCTTTCCCACTTACAAGAAAACTCTCTTGGGATAACTGGACATGTAAATTAGATTAAATTTTCACCATACATACAGAATGTGATGGATAAATTTTCATTTAAATTACACAAAATTGAAAATAACAATGACATCTCATTTTAATAGATATATTTACCAAAATTACACAAAAATATCTTGAATACTAAAGAATAAATTTATTCAATAAAATCACCATTGGTTTCAACCACTGCCTCCAGATGACTTTTGAATATCCTGCAACATTTCTGGACGGTCTTCTTTAAGTTGGTGAATGCAGCCATAATTCTTGCCTTCAGTTCATTTTTGCTGTCACAAAGAATTTTGTTAGTCTCTTGATCAACTGCACCCTACGCATAATACTCAAGAAGGTTACAGTCTGGGGAGTTAGGTGACCAGATGTGTGGGTGATGTGGTCGCAGAAATTGTCTGACAACCATGGCTGAGTAATCCTGCTTGTGTTGCATGGTGCAGAGTCTTGTTACCAGACATAGGGTCTTCCAGCAGCCATCCTCTTGACCGAGGCAGCACTACCACCTCAAGGCACTTGATGTAGGCCTATGGAAAGATGAATGGAGACATATCATGATCACTAGTGATCACTCCACACACCATGACTGGATATATGATGTGTCTGGCAGAGGAGGGGCATAGTCATCATTTGATAATTTTGCAGCAATATGCACTTAAATGTTTTAGACAGTCTTTTTTCTTTTCATGAAAGAAAATTGAATCCATAAGAAATTGTAAATGTAGGACTATCTTATACTTAAGTAAAATAATATTTATTAAGAATTTATTACAGCAAATATCATGTTTTACAGAAACATTGTTGACAATTATCTGTGTAGTTTCATAACAAATAAAAATATAAATTTTGATGCTATACTCAATTTGTTGTTAGGTGTTTTTCATTTTCTCCTTTGTTATTGGCAGCATCTTAAAAGTCTTTGATTGCAATGCTAAGTTTTCTAAGTTGAACAAACTGGAGCTATTTCATTTACACTTTGTGACCTCTTTTCCATTGTTGTTTTTAGATCACTTTCTTCCATTCATTTTGATTGGCAATAGCAAAATTCTGAAATTTAGAATCTTATTCCATTCCAAAAATAAAATCTGTAAAAAGGAATATTTTAAATAACTTTTTATAATCCAATGCGCATTCGCAAAAGTTAAGAACGGGAGATTTTTTTTTTTTTTTGTATTCTGTTTAATTTTTCTAAGTGTAAAATTTTCAATTTAATCTCCGAAATAGGGCTTAATTCCACGCCTTAATAAGTGAAGTGATCAGTTTAAAAAAAAAAATACACAAAAAAAATGTGATGTAACTAGATATAATTATAAAATTAAATGTTAGTTTTTTTGTTTTTTGTTTATTTTTTATGAACCCATGTGCAAGCACAAAAATAAAATTAAAATAAACATATCCAGTTTATTTATTTATTTTTTTTTTTTTTTTTTTTTTTATAAAATATACCCAGTTTAATTTTTTGAAGAATATGTAAATAAGTCTTCAATTTAATCCCCCCAAATACAAAGAATTAGAAAAATTATGGTATAAAACCATGCCAGCCATTGATATAAATAAATTACCATTTAAAAAGAAGTGAATACTTTTTTCTTTAATATTTTATAGATGTACCTGTGTGCACAAAAGTTAAAGAACTAAAAATATCTCCACTATATTTTTTGCTTTTTAATATGGATTTTTTTTTTTTTTTTCTTAAATTCATAAGAATAGTCAAAGCAAAATACAATAAGCACTTTGTACAGTTTTAAAATACATCATTACAAAAAAAATATAAGAAAAAAATTTCACATTTTAATGTATCAGGCCCAACAGTTTTGCATAAAATAGACCAATGCACTTTGGGTGTAGTGATATGGAACTGATTAATTTCTTCCTTTTTAAGAAAGAAAATTCCAGATACTATTTTAAATCTACCAAATTGAAAAGCAGTCTTTTTTTTTTTTTTTTTTTTCCCCTTCTTCAAGATGGGACTACTTTGATATATGTAAGCATACACCTCTCTCTGCATGTTTGAAGAAAAATACCAATATTTTTAAAGCATGGGAAATAAACACCTGTCATTGAAATAGTGACATAATTTAAAGACATGAAATAAAAACTAATCATCACACAAGAGAATTTTATCTTTTTATAAAAAGGAATGATTAAATTTTGTTTACATAATAATTTTATCAAGATAACCTTGAAAACAAGTGAGCTCTCACCAGTGAACTTGCAAGAGAAATGTCACTATTTTGACCCATCCATGCAGTGTAAACTTGGGAGGTTTAGTCTAATTGAAGATATGAAGCATGCTGGTAATTTTAAGTAGTTATTATGCACTAATCTATTTGGAATGGTATCTTCTTGGTTGGCACAAAGTTTTGGTTTTTGTGTTCTCTGGGATTTTTAGGTCTCTCTTGTTTTTGGTAACCTTCTGGGAATTTAAAGTCTAACTCTTTGTTCAATCATTTTAAAAATAGCATTCTTGAAGCCAGTCAAGAAGAGGTAATTAATAGGTAATTTTCAGATGTCTACATATTCAGGTATGTAGATGACAGCATTATAATCTGGCCTCGGCAGGAATATGTGATAATACTGCTGGAACATGTAAATGTGTAATAAGACTTTCAATTAAAAAGAATAAAACAAAAAATAACTTAAATAAACTGGCCTTCTTGGGTGTACTAAAAACTTTGAGATTTGGTTCAAGTTATATAAGACAACATACATTGAACAGTAGCAACTTCAGATAATTCATACCATTTATACAGAATGAAAAAGTAATGATAGGGGCATCATCTGTTGCTTATAACATTGAGCAAAATTAATAATTGGTGACCCAGATACATAAATAGATGATCAGTATTAGATACATGGTTCATAGTTATTATCGTGAAACCACAATCTCACTTTTTCACTAGTAGAGAATGGAGAACAATAGTTGGAAAACTGCCAGTTTACCTTACATCAAAAGCAAGTTGGAAAGGAATTGTAGGTTCTGTAATGTCTACATTAGCACAGTATTTAAAAGGCATTCTACCTTCTGGAAACTTTACTAGAGTCAAGCCTTCATTAGAAGAGAACTTTACTAAGAACTGTATGCTATTACATGAAGAGAACGCAAAGATGAATTAGTTGTTTCTCCATAAGTATAGCTTGAAAAAAAAAAAAAAATGAAAAAAATGTGTGGCATCTGAAATCAAGCCTATCTGAACATGTGAGGAGAGAAAAGAGGGAATTCTGTGGAATTAAATAATTGAAAGCAGTCTTGACAAAGTGATTGAAATATGTGCATTTGCTATGCTTGAATAACCTTCGCATTAGAGCTTGCATAGTGATCATCATGTGATGTCTTTTGATTAGGAAAGAACAAAACTTAGATTTAACTCTCCAGAATTCTGACATCTGATTATCCTGTATTGAAGTGTTGGTTTTTTAAAGTATATTCTTCAGTTACTTGAGGTAGTAAACATTAAATGTACTCTGGTTCAAGGAATAAAGCAAAAATAGTATCACAATGCTGAATTATGCTCTAACCTCTTCGGTAAGCTGAATAAAGATACACACACCACTGTGGGACCTCTTTTTAATGAGACTAATATATTAAGATTGGTAGTCTTTTATCTGTGATAATTAGCAAGTGAAACCATTCTATGAAAATGTGCAAGTTGTTTACATTTTGTGCTTCAATCTAATTTAAAATCAGTTGAGGTATTAAATATTCAAAACTTTATACTTGACCGGAATTGAAGCTACACTACATTTATAATTCTAACCTGATCCTTCAAAAATAAGGGAATGAAACTTGTACTTAATGGCTTTATGATGTCAGTGTCTAGATAGTTGATCTCTATATTAATATTGTAAATAAACTCCTATTTCTAACTTTGTTAATTTGATTGAATTACTAGTTTGCTTAAATCTTTGGGTTAGTCTTTACATGCTCATAGTAAAATTTTTAATAGGTTTATGCAAGAACCATTTTTCATAGTATCTGAAGTGTAAAATATGTTCATTTTGTTAAATGGATAAATTAAATTGCCCTTTTGAAAATTAAATTTTTCTAAGGTTAAATTAAAACTTCAGCTTGCATTTAAGTTCTGGAGTTGAAAGATGTTCTTATTCCTCCTATAATTTAATGTAGTTGCTGAGTAGAAAATTTAGCTCTATTAGAATTAATTTTAACCTTTCAATGTATATAAAGAGTTTCTCAGATGTTTTGATGTATTTGTGTTTTCTTAGATTTTCTTTTTATTATAATTTTCAAACATATGGATAAATATTGTCTTTTAATATCAGTTTTATTCATCAGTATCAAAAATATAATTGTCAATACTATTTTTAATTTTACCTGATCCTGTTAGAATCAGGTTATTTATAAATTGCCATTAATTGTTTATCTTGACTATTTCTACTGTTTATAGCACTTTTTGACTTCAGTAGACAGCTTTTTAACATTACCTACTATTTTTACATTCACTTAACCTGCTCTTACTTTTCGTCTCATCTGGCAAAATATTTTAAAAATTGGTATTTAATGAACCATGAATTTTGATATCTAGTCTCTTATTCTAATTAGTTTGCTAAAACATAACTATTAATATTATTGCCAGGTCATTCTACAAATGCAATTGATACCATGTAGCCACATGGTCAGGTTGTATGCATTTAAACCAGTTCCCCATCAGTCTTTTTTTTTTTTTTTTTTTTTTTTTGTGAGGAGGAGGGGAGTATGGTGACACCCATCAATCTTAAAAAAAAATCTATCAAAGGGCAAATGAATCTTGTAGGTTCAACAGCCAATCAAGCACAATGTGTAGACTAGGCTCCATAAATATCTATGCAACCTGTACAGTCATCACACAGCATCACTATGCAAAGGACTTCCTAAACTGGAGTCAACAGCCAGATAGGAAGGTTTCCATGTTGGAATTCATGGCCACATGTCAAGGTGAGCGTTCAAACTAGAGGTCAGCAGTTGTGGTTTTTACCTGGTGAATGAATACCTCTCTGGTTTTCAGCCCAGATTTTTGGAGGGAACTAGTTGGGTGCTCAGCTGGTTGACTCTACAACCACACCCAGTCATGGGACTGATCTAGAATTGATAATTCTAGAAAAACAGGTGATATTTTTCCAAAGATTAGATACTGTCATTTCACTGACAGATCAAAAACAACTTAACAAGTTTCACCCCATCTTTTGTTTTTCTATAGTAAACTGTTGTATCACAAAGGAAAATGTAACATTTTGTCTGTAAAAGCTACTTCTTTCTTCCACACTAGCACATATCTTGGATGCCTGATGTAGAGCTATATTTGACTAGCATGCTCATCTTGGTTGTTTAAGTTCATAATGCTTTGGTTCTTGTACCCACTGTCCTTCTTCAGGTGTCTGTTGTATTTTATAATCCTAGATTGTTTTCCTCTTTTGCTTTTCATGCTTAGAGGATATTTTGTATTACTGGTCTTCACCTTTGTTTTTTCCACTGAACCATAGCTTTATTTTTTTAATTTTTTTTTTTTTTCAGCCCTAACATATCCATGGATTGAATCTATTCTAACCAATACTTTAATCCAATAGGCCCTAGTTGATTAAAGTGTCCTGATAGTTGTGAGTTCAATCTGGAACATGAGTATAAAAACTTTAATACAGGCATAGAAGGTTTGACAAAACATAAAAATGGTACAAATTTACCTTGGTATCTCAATTAGGAATGAAGTTATAACCATTCAAAGTTTGTCTGAAATTTTCCATCTCTTGTGCTATTAGACCAAAAGCCAATTTCAACAGTATGTAACAGATGCCAGTTTCAGATTAGTTAAAAAAATAATAATAAATGTAGTGTCATATAAGTAGTCTTGAATTAAAAAAAATATAATACTAATGGAATCCATAATTATTAGATAAACCAAAACATTGGTTTGGGGCGGGGATTGTGTTCTCAAAAGCAAACAAATTAAAAAAAAAAAAAAAAAAAATTTTAAAAAGTCAGAATTCAATCTTGACTGTTCATATAAATTTCATTTCAACAGTTAATGCCTTGCAACAATTTATAACATGAGGCTAATTTTTTTTTCTCAGTATTTAGAAATAAAAAAAAAACTGAATTTAATAACATAGTTATTGGAACTGATGAAAAAGACTTTATTCTTCTAATAAGGATTTGTAGTCTGAATTTGTTTATAAACCTCTGCTATAGACAATATCCCTGGAACATTCCATAACCTATCATCACTTCAAAGTGGTATTATATCAGTCATATTTAAAGACAAACGTTGATACCAATTGTGCAATATTATCCAATAATTACTTTTGCCTTTGGTTGGAACTCAAATTTTGATTACAGCACTGGACAGAGATGTAATATCAATGACTTGGTCAATGTAAAAATTGGAGTAATTGGCCTTGGTGTTTGTAACTGAAGGTCATTTGAAATGGTTCTTCTTGATCACAAATGCTAGAATTGTTTGAATACTCAGATTTGCTGAGTGTCTTCTTTTCTTCCATCCTTTGTTCCATTCGATTTGAAGATCAAGTTCCATTAAAAGTCCAAGTTTAAATACAACTATAGTTGAGCTAGAAACTGCCATGACATCAATATAAAGAATCGCTATATTCTGAGGCTTTTATTTGAGCGTTTTTATTTTTTACACATAAATTTATGCTATTCAAAATAGATAAAACATAATTCAGTTGTATTGTCTGAACTGATCTTTGAATTTTTTTTATTTCTTTTTTTAATAGGATGTGTTTTTGATTTGCTTCTCCTTGATTAGCCCAGCAAGTTTTGAGAATGTGAGGGCAAAGGTAGGTTATTTGTTTTATCAGATGTTTGGTTCAAATATGTGTAAGCATTTAACAAACTGATTTATAAAAAAAAAAAAAAAAATATGCTTTAACTGACAATATGAAACCCATTTCATGAATCTAAAATGAGGTTGTTTGATCCAAGGGACTTAACTTTTATAAATTTAATATACTTTAACAGTTAATTTTATTTTTGAATTTACTAATATTTATATATCTCATTGTAAACATTTGAGAATAATTTTCACATTTAATTCAAAAGGTCAGAAGCATCATTAAATTCTGCCATTTGAAAATCCATCCAACTTGTGTAAATTGTTTATCTCCATGTTCTGCCAATATCATTTAAGATTTAAACCTAAAACCTGATTTAGATGTCCACTGAATCTTAAACTTTTTTATTTTTTTTTTCTTTTTTTTTTTTTCTATTTATTTATTTATTTATTTTTTATTTATTTATTTTATTTTTTTTTTTTTTTTTATTTTTTTTTTTCAGTGGTATCCTGAAGTGTGCCATCATTGTCCAAATACCCCAATTATTTTGGTAGGAACTAAACTTGACCTGAGGGAAGACAAAGAAACTGTGGAAAAGCTGAAAGAAAAGAAGTTGTCACCAATTACTTATCCTCAGGGTTTGGCCATGGCAAAAGAAATCACTGCAGTGAAGTACCTGGAATGTTCTGCTTTGACGCAGAAAGGTCTCAAAACAGTATTTGATGAAGCCATACGTGCTGTTCTATGTCCCAAGCCAAAACCCAACAAAAGAAATAAATGCAAGATTTTTTAACTTGTGCTGCTCATGCAATTATTATTACTGCAGCAATTCTACAATTAATATTCCTACTTCTATTACATACACTTGGCAGATGTGCTGCCACGTATTCTTATCATTTCTAACTACAAGCAATTCATACGTCCTGACATTTTTCTATTTGTGTATAAAGCAATGATATATTCTGGCTTCCATTCCTACTTTAAAAAAGTTTTATTTCAGAAGTGTTGCCTTGCAAAAAAAAAATTTTTAAAAATCAAACTGGATTTAAACAAAAAGGTTATTTCCATGGGTACACAACTTCTGAGAAGGGGGATATGATTTATGAGCACAAAAAAATTTAAAACAAACTGAAAATTTTTTTTCTTCTATTTCTTTTCAATTTTTTCTTTTTACCCTGACCATTATTTTCTTTTTTCTCTCATCTTTCTCTTACTGTTAGCAAATTCAGTGCTTCTCTCATGTTTATCTAGAACTTTTTCTTAAATGGTTGAAAGTTCTGGCTTGTTGATTCAGAGGAAAAAGTTTGTGTGTGATTGTATGTGTGCATATATATCTATAAATAGCTACTTGTATGCATACATTGCGATATTTTGTGGTTCATGTGTGTTGCAAATGTTCCCTCTTTATGACATGTCACCATGTTTATACATTTTTGTGTGTGTGCGTGTGTGTAAGATAAAAAAAAAAAAAAAAAATTTCTCACTCCTTCGCAATTTCTACAAGAAAGTCATAAACCAGAAAAACAAACTGACACTGTATAGTTGAATCTTTTTTTTCCTAGTTTATATTTTGGTTATTTTCCAGATATTTTGAAAATGTTTTATTTTACTTGCTGCCCCCCTCCTTCTCCATTTCTCGGACTCACACATTCACACAAAGAAAAAGAATGTAGTATAAATACTTTTCTCTTTTTACTCATTTTCCCTCAATTATTTTTCTCAATCTGGGATTTCTTGTTTCTATGATCCATGATGGTGTAGGGTTAATAAGAGCATTAACTCAATTGTAATTATAAATATGTAATTTTTTTTTTCCTCCAATTCCCCTGTCCTATATCTTAGAATGAAAGACTAATTTCTTGTTAAATATCATGTTCATTGCCAACCTAATTGCATTTTCCTCTTTTCTCAGTTTCAATCTTGTCTCATTTAGGTTGCCCTATGACTTTTTAAAAAAAGAAAACAAAAAAAAAAATTTATAATCTCTAACAAACTAAGATACACAGAAAACAAAAAAGGCCTATTAAAAAAAAAAAAAAAAGATGAAAACAAAAACCTGTTTTGTAAAGTGTATGTTCCAGGAAATGGATTGCAGAATTATAGATACTTTTTTTTTTTTTTTTTTTTTTTTTTCTCCCTGGGGAGGGTACAACGATCATTGTTTTAATTGCAACTGCTTATTAAGCTGCTAGTGTTTCTTTCTTTGTCTATTGTACATTATATTTTCTCTTGGTCCTCTGTCTCCTCCACTTTCATCTTTTTCTTTCTCTTTCATATATCTTCTGCCGTAACAAATGATTACCCTATGCTTACATCAATGGTGGAGGTATCTCAGGAAATGCCTTAAATGGATGCTAGTGTCTTCAAATGAAAAATTTCAAAAATAAAAACTGTTAACAATTAAGATTATAAATAAAAAATAAAAACAGAATGTTAGGTTTTTCATTCAATTTCTCTATCAATATTTTAAATTCAACTAAAAAAAAATCCAGTTTTCCTCCTATACATTTTTTTTTTTTTTTCCTCTTTGAGCTCTCCAACTTATTTTTCCTACTGTCATTCAAGATATGGATTTATTTTTCCATTCACTTTTTCATTTTTAAAAATGTTTAATTAATCCAAAACCTTTGTGAAAGTCATAATATACAACCTCACTACTTTCCACCCTCCCACCTTTGAAATTCATACAGATAAACACTTGGTTGGATCTCAAATTAAACATTTCTTTTTTTTTTTTTTTTTTTTTTTTTTTTTTTTTTTTTTTTTTTTTTTTTTTTTTTAATCCCTATTTCTTTTGTCCAAAATACTTATTAGTTGCCTAACATTTTTCTCCTCCCCATTTTCTTCAGAGTTAAAATGTTGGGCAGTGGTGTTGCATTCTGTTTTCCTGGAATTTCTGTAAATAACTTTGACCCTCCCCTGCCTCTTCTGTATGAGTGCCATTTATCCTTCCTGTACAGTTTGATAATCTCTTACAATAACAGTTTGCTTTCAGGGTTTTCTTACCAACCTACCTACATAATCTATCGATTCAATTTTTCTTTTTTATTTTGATATCTGAACTTTTTGCTTATCTATTCACTTTGAAAAAGCTATTAAAATGCATGGCTTTTTACTTGTTTTGGTTCTTTAAATTGTAGACAGTGCCCTGATTTAGTTTTTCTTTTTTTTTATTTGAATTTATTAAGTATTAAAAAAAAAAAAAAAAATGATTTTTTGCTCTAATAAGATTTGTCCTAATTTTAATCCTCCCACCCATCAATTATTTCCATCTTTTTCTTCATTTCTCTTAAGCCATGTTTTGTTTTTTTTTTCCCCCTTTATACACATTCAATAGAATTTTTAAATAAGGATCCATTGGACAAGAGATGTGATTGAAGTTCACTTTACTCCAATACAGGTGTTCAGTGGAGCATCAAAATAACCCACTTCCCACATTATCCTGTGGTGATTTATGCTATTAAATAGCCTTTCTTGAAAATATCAACTTGTTCATCTTAATACAAATCTCAAAAACAAATTGTGATACCTGATAGCAGAAATAGAATCTCTTTATCAAGCAGTTCTAATTACTTTAACATGAAACTACTGAGCTTTTCAAGAAACACTGTTCATTTTAATGCCTAATTTGGCTTTGATACCTATTTGCAGTCACTATGGATTCATAAATTTAACATTGACAGCAATACATTTTTTTTTTTTTTTTTTTAGTGATATATGGGAGATAACTGCTGAAGAGCATTAATGCTAGTTGAAAAGCTGTGGACAGTTTGAATAAAATTTGGTTATTGAAAATTCTTTTCTTTTAACTCTTATATAATGATATTACTTATTAGCCTAGTTTTAAAAGAAACCTGACATTAAGCATACTTAATCCTTTCAAGTCTTTACATTTGTAGAAAAAATGATAAACAAATATTTTTTTCTATTAGCTTTAGCTGAGGAGATATCCTCTTCTTTATCCTCTTACATTTTCATTTTATTTTATTTTAATTATTTTTTATTTTATTTTTTTTAAATACAAGCCATGCTATTTTTCTCAAATTTGTGAATAATTTAATTCCCTCTCCCATCACCAACAATTTGGGACTACTGATATATAATTTCAGGATCTGACAATATGTACTTATGTGGATATGTATATATTGCCTTTTGTTTTCAGTGTGATTCAATGGCTTCATTGTTTGCCTGAGTTGATTTGACTCCTTAGGCTACAACTGGAAAAGAAAAAGACCCCACCCTACCAAAAAAAAAAAAAAAAAAAAAAAAAAAAACAAAAAAAAACTCTTACCACATCATTGAAATTTGTAGAAAGGTAAGGTTACCTGACCCAACTGCAGTGTAATCCTGCTGCTACTTGTAAAGGAGACTTAGTGGACATTTATTTTGATAAAATAAAGTAACTTTTTAATTTAAAAAAAGATACTTAGCTCTCCTATATTTGTACGTAATTTTGTTTGTTTGCTTGATTTTTTTTTTTTTTTTTTTTTGCTTATGTATGTATGTATGTATGTATGTATGTATATATAATGCACACACACACAGGACGTAATAATTAATAATTCAAAAGAATTTTAAGATGTTTCTTTGGGTAGAAAATATAACATTAAGTCGTAGTTCAAAGTATATTACCAAAATTCATATTTCACAATTTTTTTTTTTTTTGTCTTAGTTCAACTGTTTTATTTAGACTTCAAGTTTTTAAGGTATTAGCATTATATTAATAAAGTGCTTTTTAAAGCTTAAAATTAAATATATAGTGTAGTTATTTAATAAGCTTGGCTTTAGGGCACTTGGTGAGGATTAATCTTGTGGTATAACTGGTACTCTGACAAATACATATGGGTGCTAGGGGGACAAATACTGACTAAAAAGCCATAACATTTCATGTTCAGTCCCTTGGCTTGTGAAGGTGGAGCATTTTTTAGTAAAGGTTTTTGAAAAGTGACAATTACAAAAAGGATTCAACTACCTGAATTGTTGAACTAAATCTGCACATGATACTATTTTATTAACCATTTTTGTACCAAAACTAAGTTTGATAAAAATAAAATAACTGAAGGTTAGGATTTTATGAAAAACAAAACTATTGTAAATTTCTCTGTTATTAACAGTAAGGATTAGCATTTATTTAAAGTGAATCATGATTTTGTAAAAAAACAATATTGGCTCTTTCACTTAGTTATGGAATGAATTATACTAGTTTGTTTTATTTTCTTGAATAGTGAAAAGCTACTGATAACACTAGTATTCACCATTCCCAAAATGTCTAGTCCGTGGGTCATCTGTAATGCAAAATTAATTCCTCAAATTACAAATGGTATAAAATACTTGCAGACAAAAATTATAAATCTAAAATATAACTGATAAAAACGTATAGTTTTAAGGTATGCTATATTTATAGGTAAGTGCTCAATATCAAGGATAGAGCATACATAAATGGACATGGAGGTCAACTGTCACTGTTGACCCCTTTTTTTATAGTAAACATACTGCGAAATACTGAGGTTTCATATTTTATTTATATATTTGGATATTAAATTGTAATTTTCTGTTAACTCCAGTTATGTTCTACTTAATTTTTTTTTTTTCTCTCAAGTGTTGTTCACGCTTTATCTCCTTCATCTTGTCACCATATTTCATCTAATCCAGTTTACAATCTTTTGTATCTATGCAGTAGGAGGTCTCTTAATTCATGTTTACCAGTACTTGTAAAAACATAAGTAGAAAAATCTTTTATGGCAGGCCATATCTCTAGATAGATCTTAATTAGCTTCTCTAGGATAAAGATAT